AAGGTTATTAAACCTATATCGGAATTATTTTAAAAGTTATCACCTCGACGGCTCCACACATAAGAGTTATCACCTCCCCATATAAGAGTTATAACCTCCACATATGATACAAATTTACAATATCAAGGGATAAAGTAAGATTAATCCATATTACAAAAATATATATATATATATATATATATATATATATATATATATCCAAAATTACAATCCGAACAAGGGCCTATTCTGTTAACCTTATTTTCACTTATTTCAGATCTAATAAGTTTAGTTAAGTTAATATATGTTAAGTTATAAATTCAGATAAGTTCAGTTCAGGGAAAATAAATTCTGATAAAGGTTACCTCTGTTCAAATTACAACTAAAATAAGTTTTAATAAGTTCAGATAAATTCAGTTAAGTTCAGAAAAATTCAGATAAGTTGAGTTAAGTTCAGATAAGTTCAGTTAAATAAGTGAAAATCAGGTGTGTTCGGAACACACCCTAAAAGCTAAAGTGACTTAAACTGACCTGAATAGAACACACCCTAAAAGTTAAAGTGACTTAAACTTAAGATATTAGGTAATTGTGGTTTACTACCACTACAAGAAAACAACCTATTTTCGACGAACATGTTTCGACGGACACATAATTTCGTCGGAAAAGTCGAACTTTCCGACGGTTTTTTTTCCTGTTGGTATATGTATTTTCCGACAGATTTTTCTATTGTAAATTACTATTTTCGTCGGAAATTTCCATCAAAATATAATTTTTAAAAAAACCACCCTTTTAAATGAAACCCTAAACCGTGCCCCCCATTTTCTTTCCGTCTCCTCTTCATTCTCTTCTCCATCTCTCTGTTCTTCTCTTTCCCCTTCTCATCTCTTTCCCGTTCTCTCTCTCTCCTCTTCTTTTTCCCTTCTATTTCTTTCACCTCTTCTCCTTCGCTTCCGCCATTTCTCCTTCTTTTTCTCTCTCCTTTTCTCTTTCCTCTTCTCTTTCTCTCTTCTATTCTATTCTATTCTCTTCTCTTCTCTTTCCTAGTGTGGTTGGTGGTGTTCAGGACGCTAGTGAGTGGGGTTGATGGTGTCCACGCCGAGTTCGATTGGTGGTCGATTTCTCGCTGATTTTTAGAAATTAATGGTTTTTAATGTCAAATTCGACTATGAAAACTCTAAATCTTGAATTTTTATGGTCGAATTTGGCCTTTTTAAACCAAATTCAAGATAAAATTCAAAGTTAATTTCGGTTAAGGTATGTTTATTCTTTTTTATAATTTTTTTATTTTTTTATATTTTGGGTTATGGTGTCGTGGTGGTTAGGGTTAGTTGCAGGTGGTTTGGGGTGGGTGGGTTAGGGTTAGTTGGTGGTTTCGTGGGTGGGTTAGGGTTAGTTGGTGGTTTAGGGTTGTGGTTCGTGGTCGCTGGGTTAGGGTTGGTGGTGGTTTGGGGTGGGCTGGGTTAGCAGGGGGATTGAATATGTTTTTACGTTTTTTTTCCTTTTTTTTATTATTAATTTAATTACTATTGTTGTTATTGTTATTTAATTATTATTGTTGTTATTATTAATTATTATTGTTATTTATATAACTATTTTTGTTGTTATTGTTAGTTATTATTGTTAGTTGGTGGTTTGGGGTTGTAGTGTCATAGTGGCAGGTTAGTTGTTGTGGGGCTTTGTCCAATATTGGCGAGGGGGGGGGGGGTGCTGGTGGTGCTAGGTGATTTATTTATCAATTTTTAATAGCATTTTTCGACGAATTTTCTAGGCCGGAAAATCTCATCCGACGACTTAAATTCCATCGAAAAAGGTCATTTTTCCAACAAATATGTTTCCGATGACCATATTTCGACGAAATTCCGTCGGAAACGCGTTTTTCTACGGAATAATTCCGTCGAAAATTGCCTATTTTCTAGTAGTGTACAATTTTGAACATCATCCACCAATACCAGAGTTAAAATAACAAAAACATGCAAAGAAAAAGTCTATAATCTATCTAAGTTATTATCTATAACTATGTACTAAGGCTTTGTTCAGTTCACCTTAAAAAAAATATTCAATATAAATCATTTCAGTTCAGTAAATATAATTTTTATTCAGCAAAAATAAGTTCAATTTAGTAAAATTAATTTTAGTTCAGTGGAAATAAATTCAGTTTAGGAAAAATCAGTAATTCAAAAGAAGAAATATAAGAGAGAATCAGTAAAAATAATTTCAGTTTAGCAAAAATTAATTTTAGTTCAGTAAAAAAAATTTCAGTTCAGCAAAAATAAGGTGAAGTGAACGGGGACTAACGATGAATAAAAAGTGCACGTGTCAATTTTTGGTTAAAAAAAATTCCGCCATAAAATTTATGGTTTTTTTTTTATCCAATTGGAGAGCGGCCACGATAGTGTTATGTGACCAAAACATTCCATTACAAATGAAGGGGAAATTCTACAGGACTGCCATAAGATTAGTGTTGCTTTATGGTACAGAATGTTGGGTTTCTAAGAAGGAGCACATTAAAAAGATGAAGGTTATTACGGAAATGCGCAAGTTAAGATGGATGTGCGGGAACACTCTAAGAGATGGAATCATAAATGAAGTTATTCGCAAGAAAGTAGGTGGTGCAGGCATTGTAGACAAACTAAGGGAAATCGCTTGTGTTGGTTCGGGCATGTAAGACGGAGACCCCAGGATGCACTGGTACGAATAGTGGAAGAGTGGGATCATGGAAAACTTAAAAGAGGTAGAGGAAGATCGAATATGACTTGATTGGAAGGAGTTAGGAAGGATATGAAGCAAATGGATTTGCATGAGAATGAGGTATTTGATCGTAAGGGATGAAGAGACAGATTTTTGTAGATGACTATACGGAATCACTTTTGGTTCATGTAGCTAACTCCACTTATGAAATTAAGGATTTGATTGATTGACTGATTTTTATCCAAAAAAAATCATCTTCACTATTAATATTTTTCTACCTACTTTACCATTATACACACGTTCAAGTTAATATTATTCCAAATCTTCAACATCTTTTATATTAAGTAAAAACTAATTTCAATATAATAATGTAATCTTTCCCTCCCAAAATCAATAAGTAATTTTGTAATTCATATGGTTTTATGGGCTAGTTTGACATCGTTTTTTGTTTTTAGTTTAGTTTTTTTTTTTTAAAAAAAACAAGAAACCAAAACAAGATACAAGAAAAAGAAGTTTCCACTTTTCGGTTGTCAGTTTTCAACATTATCATGATTTTAATAAATTCGTTTGACTTAATTTTTATTCATTATATGACCATTTCATATGATTTTGAAAAAAAAAAACAAAAACAAAAAAACAGAAAACCACGGAGATACCAAGCCAACCTATACTATTTAGAATTTTTAAAGAAAATATGAACCTTTATCATACTTTTTATGATATAATTTATTAAAAATTGTTATAAATCATTATAAAATATGGTAAAGGTGTGCGTTGCACGTGACTTAAAGCTATTAATTAATTATGTGTATATTGTAAGCCTACCTCGCTTAATAAAGCATTATATTCATTAGAAAAAGAAGAATTTTTTTTTTGTAAAATTCTTTTTATTTTTATATCTTTTCTTAAAAACAAATAATTATAACATGCACCACCATAAAGCTCATGGCAAGATAATATTAAAGTAAGTAAGTTAGTAAGGCCCTATTATTTTGAGCTTTATTTTTCTACTCTTCTCTACTGAAATCTGCTCTGCTCAATATTAAACTGTAATTAATAATTAATAAACTATTGCTACATGTTAATAAGTTATGGAAAAATAAGTTTAGATAATATTAAGTTATGGAAAAATAAGTTTAGATATAAAAGGATTACCTAACTAAGTTTAATTTACAATTAAAATATTTAAGTTTGAATAAGTTTAGAGAATAATATATGGAAATTAGGAGAGTGTAATGCATCCTAAATTCCTAATTATATACGAAGTATTTTTTTATACAAGTATATAATAACAATAATGACTAAAGCAATACAACACATTGCTTTGGTTTAATTTCTTTTGTAATAGTAATACGGATTTTATTAATGAAATATTTTTACAATAGAAAAACCTCATGTAAAAAAGTATTCTACTATACTTTCTTATTCTTTTTATTTGACAATTTTTATTTTTATTTTCTCCAGATTTGTCAACGTTCAAGTTAAACGATTGATATCATTAATTATCAAAAAGTAAGATCGGATTATAAAAATTTGGTATCACGTCATATATGTTTAAACATTTTCTAACAAGATCCCACATGAGACATGACCATGTTTTATCATAACAGTATAAATCATAAAAATTCATCAAAGTAGAGTTTGTGAATAGTATCAAAAACCAAAATGAGTCACCTAAAAAAGAATAGATGAAGTATTTCTCAAGCTACAACTCTCCTTTCTCCTCTCTCTCCTAAACCTTAACCTCCATTGTTGAGTTGTGGAGGAGCTTCAGGCTTCCATGTTCCATCGGTTTTTACTAATAAAAAGCCCCAATCTTTTTTGATTTTGTTTGTTATTAGTCCTTCTAAGAGGATCATTTCTCTCATGAAATATATGATTTTTTCACAAATATTTGACATATTTTTTCTTCCAACACTACAAGAAAATAGCTGATCAACGATGGCTTGTTTTAGTCGGTGATAGTAAAACCGTCGGTGAACCATCACCGACAGCCAACTGTCGGTGCTTGACTAATATTGCACGTTTAGTCCGTGATGCACTAAACACTGACAGATTGGCTATCGTTGATTAATACACTGACTCTTTAAAAAAAATTACACCGAAAGTTTACTAACCTGGGTCTTTATAAACGAACATCACGTTATGGCTGTCGGTGAGTCACTGACAGTTTCTAACTGACGGGGTATCATCGACAACCATTAGCAGACACTGTCTACAAAAACAACATCAATAAAAAGCTATTGGTGTTCTCATACACACCGACAGTTTATACCTATCGGGGGGGGGAGGACCAAATCGTCGGTGTTTTGTTAGATACACCAAAAATATGTGTCACTTATACACCGACGGTTTCTATTTACCGACGATTAATAACTGTTGGCATTTTTATTTTATTTTTCGCTTCAAAGAATTGAATTAATTGTTTTAAAATATAACCTGCACTGCGTTTACAATAAAAACCTGCAATCTAAATTTTAATTCAATATGCCCAATAATTAGTTTTTTTTGTAATATAATATTCGTAGTATCATACTTTTTCAACTAAATGCTTTGTTTGAACCAAACTATTTTCAACTTTTTCAAAGATGTAAGTGTTGTCCATCCATAGCTTTTTTGGGCAAGTTTTTCACGCATTCCCACAACTCTTCCCCGGACATGATTTGTGGAGGAGACCCTTTTCTCAACCATGTTTCTGTAGAAAGCAACTTTGTTGTTACGAAAAGGATGATCTGGTAGTAGGAATTGTCAATGGCAATCAAACCAAGAAACTTTCCCCATATGGTCAAGCCAAAAGGCTTTGGTTGTGTCCAAACAATAAGAGCAGGCATTTTTCCCAGCTGTAGACCATCCAGATAGCATACCATAAATTGAAAAGTCATTGACAGTCTATAAAATGGCAGCACGCATATTGAAATTTGTTTTCAAGAAATGTCATAAGGTTTGGCACCAACATCCCAAAGTTGTTTCAACTTTTCAATTAGAGGCTGTATGAAAACATCCAAGTTACCCTTTGAATTTTTTGGACTGGGAACTAGCAACGAAAGGAACATGAAGGGTTTTTTCATCACATGGACGGAGGCAAGTTGTACGGGGTTAAGATGACCGGCCAACATGAGTACTGACCCCAAACTTCCCATGAGGTGCATAACCATCAATATACAAACCCAGTCGAACATTCCTAGGTTCAGATGAAAAATCAGGAAAGGACGTGTCCAAATGCTTCCAAGCTTCAGTGTCGCTAGGATGAACCATTGTATCTTGAACTCTAGGATTCTTGGCATGCCATGTCATTTCCTCGGCAACGTTCTTAGTTACAAACAACCTTTGCAACCTCGGTGTTATTATAAAATAAATAAGAGCTTTTCGAGGCACTAAGGACCCCATAAAAGTCCTCTTGTACCAGTCCCTCTTACACACTCTACATGTATCCAAGTTGGCATCAGCTCTCCAAAATAACATACACCCTTTAGGGCAAGCATGAAACTTCTTGTGAGGAAGCTCCAATCCGTTCAACATCTTCTTCGTATCATAAAATGTGATGGCCATGTTGTTTCCAGGAATTGCTTCATTGATTAATGAAGTGAACCCATCAACTATGTGGCAAATTGTACTCACACTTCAAATACCCAATTCTAGATGTCATTTCTAACACAGTCATGGAGCTCCCTTCATATAGTGGTTGCTCAGAAGCCTTTAATTAAAATCTTAATAAACTCCTTCGCTTGAGCATTTGGTTCCTCCTCTAGTCCACTAGAATCTTCATCAGTCGACAGCTCATGGATACTCCCAAAAGCATCGAAAACCATTTCACGGTATGGATTAGGTTGCTCTGATGAGGATTGAGGGAACTCCTCACCATGTGACAACCAATCGTAGTAATCAGGTATGAATCCCTTCTTGTACAAATGCAGTTTGACCGTATTTGCTTCATTAAAACGTTTGTTCTTGCATTTTGGACATGGGCATCGAACAGAATCCTTTCCGAGATCATTCTCTGGATTTGCTTTGCAAAAGTCGATGAATTCATCGAATCCTCTCAAGAACTTAGGCCTCAAGTTACGCCTTTTGTCATATCTGTCATACATCCACCAACGCTCCTTCCTTTTCATGGTGACAAATTCTACAATTCTAGACCAATTCAATCACAATACTCAATAACAACCAACATGCTTAGCTTTCAATTGATAAATATTTCTATATGCCATGCATATATATTAATATTAACAGCCCAAAGGTCCTTATCACTCCAACCTAACCCATCCTTAGACGTCTAACCCCACTGGTGAATGTATCCAAACTTTTCACTTCTATGTAAAATCTAGCAGCATTTCCCATGAGTTCTCAAAGTACACGATGTTAGCTTGTTATAAGCTTACAACATATAAAGAAACAACAACACCAAACATTACATAGAATAAAAAAGAACGCATACATTCACCGCCTAAGTGAGGTCAACGTCGAAGGATAGTCCCAACTGGGGACTATTCAAGGTATACTCCTAATGAGTATACCTTGAACGGGTATCTAGGCAAAGCATGTTGCAAAAAAAGTCATTCATTTTACACTTACAATGAACGTAATTTCCAACAAATAAAAAGTTTTAACAATAATGTAATCCTCTATTATAAACTAAGCATTTTAATATATCAACATTTAAAAAAATACAAAATATATTGACTATAAAAATGTTCACAATGAAAAAATGTATACAACTAGTATAAACTTGAGAAAGTTCAAATTAATGCAAAAAATATATAAAAGAACAAATACTTTACATTAAAAACCATGAAAACCATACACAAATTCAAATATATAATTTCAATTAACAAAAACATTCACCAAAAACCTACTTTCAATACTAACATTATTAACACATGAAAACAAAAAAAAAAGGTGAAAATTATGCCAAAGAACAACACCAAATTGCTTTTTAAATCCTACATTATGTACAAAAGACATAAATAATTAGATAAATAACGTTGATTTAGAAAATTTATAATTTTTGAAAATTAAAAACCCTAGTTAGTGGGCAAGATTTCAAAATTCAACCAATTGTAGCATAAGGTAAGTACCTAGGGTTTTTTTTCGGTAGCTAGGAGGGATAGAACGGCTGGCTGACGGTGGGGGAAGTGGTGGTCACGATCTCCATTGAAGAATTTACAAAATTACTCAAGTTAGGGTTTGTAAATTATGGGAAATAAAAAGACACGAAAATAAGGGGGGAATACGGAGTTTACCGGCGACTATGGAAGGAGGAGTGGTGGTCGAAAGACGTAGGAGGAGCCTTGTTGTTGAAATTTCGATCTTGTGTTGGTCGTTCTTCTTGCAAACCGGGAGCAAAGTGATTTTTTAAAAATTTGTTCGAATGAGTGAACACTACTGCTGCTGAGGTTCTCTATTTTGCGAAATACATCAGCTTATCCGACAGTTTCAGACTTTCATTGATAGTTTTCTATTTTTTTTAAGACACCGACTATTGATGGCTGACGAGTTTTTTTTTTTTTTTTTTTTGCGAATTTTTTTGAAAAATAAATAATACAGTCATCGACTATTATAAATTGATTGTGAAAGGAAGATTAAAAAAAATAAAAAATGAAGATCATCGACGGTTTTAATCTATCGTTTTATTTTGCACCGACGATTTAACTGACGGTGTTAGATCTAAGGCTGTCGGTGTAACCGACAACCTAAAAACCGTCGGTGATTTATTAAACATCAACAGTTTATTTAGGTCGTCGGTGCTATGCCATCGTTAAAACAAGTTTTACTTGTAGTGCAAGTCTTCGACATGTTTTTTTCTTCTCCTCTTTTTGAAGAAGAATTTTCTTTTTGAACTAGCACTATATACATGAGATTCTACGGACATGCATAATATATTTAATAATTTAAATATATTTAATAAATTATGCATAAATTTCATGCATAATTTATTTAAATTATAGTGCTAGCACTGTATGCACAATTTGATTATGAGAGCTCCTTCCGATTTCAAGTGGAATCCCAATTTTGATAACTTTGTAGCTACGAGTAAATTTTTTTGTACTGTCAATATAATTTCATTGAGATAAATTAGATTTTAGTTTCTGGGTATGAAAATAAGAAAAGTCTCTGTCAAAAAAGAAAAACTATGTCTTTCAACAAAAATTGATAAAAAAAACCTTGTCTTTTTAGGGTGAAAAACTCCAATGAAAGGAAATTTTTTAATTATAAAACTAAAAAAAATAGAGGTAAGCAAAAAACGAAAAAAAAAATCTCTAAATAAATAAAGATTGTGGCTTTCACTAAAAAATACCGATCAAAGTCTCTTCAAAACTCAACAATGGAGATTATGGTATAAAAGAGATAAAAGAGAAGACCACATAAGGCCATGTTTAGTTTACCGTATTTTTACTTATTTCATAAAAAATTAGTTCAGATCAGATCATATCATATCAAGAAAAATAATTTCTGACACACTTTATCGTTTTATGTGTAGTTTTTTATCGCTAAATATCTTTAATTCGTAATAAAAAATTATAAAAATTACATATTAATAAAATACGCATTATTATAAATCTAACAAGATATATATTTTATATTTATAGTTTATTGTGCATATAAGATCAAAGTTTGGTCAAATCAAACAATCAAATCAGATCAGATCATACCAAATCAGATCAGATTAGATAAACAAAAATAAGGTGAACTATACAGCCCCTCACATAAGTTGATTGGTCACCAATAGATAAATTATACTCCCTCCGTTACATATTACTTGCAACAATTACTATAAATGGCCGGTACACATTACTCACAACAAATCCAAATCTTTCCTTATTTAGTAAATTTTTTAAATGAAATTACAAAAACACCCTTACATAAAATTTTATAACCTCATTTACATACTTTAAACATAATTAATTAAAACGACTTTAATCTAATTAAATTCATCTTATCTTTCTAAAATCATCTTCTCCATAATCTTTCTCTCTCTTCCTTCTTCATCTTCTTCCTCGTCCCCTTTATTTTTCTCTCTCCTCCTCCAACCCCATTCTCATAAATTGTCGAAAAAGACCACCCTTTCGTTGTGGGTTTTCCAGATCTGACGGTTTTCGTGGGATTGGGTTTTGGGTTCGTGGGTTATGGATTTTGAGGTTATGGGTTTGAGTTCAAGTTTCTGGGTTGAGGGTTTTGGTGTTCATGGGTTCGTCGGTTGTGGGTGGTGGTGCTCGAATTTGTGGGTTCGTGGTTATGGTGGTACGGTGGGATTCGTGGGTTTGACTGTACGGTGAGTTCGATTGTGGGTTCGTGGATTTGATTGTGGGTTCGATTGTGGTGCTGCTAGGTGGTGGTGGTACGGTACTTGGTGGTTTCGTGGTGTTGGGTGGTGGTGCCGCTAGGTGGTGGTGGTATGGTGTTGGGTAGTTTTGGTTGTGTTTGGTTTTGGTTTAATTATTTTTTTCTTTTTTTAGTTGGATTAATACTAAGTACATGCCCTTATTTTTTAGTAATTACACTTAAAGAACTTTTGCCTAGGAGTCCGCAATCCCCTAGTTTGTTGCGAGTAATATGTAATGGAGGGAGCATATTACTTTAATCTATTACACTTGATATTAGCCTTTTGGCTAAGAAGGAATGTAATAGATGAATTATATATTATTATTCTTTTTATTTTTGTAAGACAAATTAGGGCTCTTGGTGGACAGGTTCAGTTTAAGGATCTTTCGTCAGAGGCGATTAGGCCGACTCTTATGTCTTCTTTTACTTGATCCGCGTTCTTACACGTAGGATACTTTGGTTGTTCATAGGTTGTTTGATTCCCCGTCGGCTGCTAGGATTCTTTTGTTGGATCGGCCGGGGAGGCTAATGGATAATTTTGTATACTGGAAGTTCACCGGGGATGGGGTTTTCTCCACGAAATCGGCTTAGGCCTTTTGGCTGGAAACTGTTACATGATGCTCTTCCAATGGCGTCCCTTCTGTATTCCCATGGTTGTCCGGTTGACCCGGTATGTGCTTTTTGCCATCAGGAGTTAGAGGAGGTGTCGCACACCTTCAGAGACTGTCTTGCTATCTTCTTTACTTGATCCGCGTTCTTACGCGTGGGATACTTCGGTTGTTCATAGGTTGTTTGATTCTCCGTCAGCTGCTAGAATTCTTTCGTTGGATCGGCCGGGGAGGCTAATGGATGATTTTGTATACTGGAAGTTCACCAGGAATGGGGTTTTCTCCACGAAATCGGCTTATGCCTTTCTATGCCAATCCCCTATGACCCCTGGTTTTGGAAGCCGGTTAACACCGACCTGGTGGCGGAGGTTTTGGCGGCTTCCTATTCTTCCTCGATGGAAGGTTTTTGGCTGGTAATTGTTACATGATGCTCTTCCAATGGCGTCCCTTCTGTATTCCCATGGTTGTCCGGTTGACCCGGTATGTGCTTTTTTCCATCAGAAGTTGGAGGAGGTGTCGCACACCTTCAGAGACTGTCTTGCTATCAGATCTTTATGGCGGTCGGGAGCGTTGGGGGTTTGTTGGGATCTTTAGCAGTTCCCTCAGCTCGGGGATTGGCTGGCTAACACCGTTTCTCGGTTCCATTCTCACAAATTTTGGAAGGGTATTATGTCTATATTTGCTCTCCTTTGGGCTATTTGGCTTTCCCGGAACCAGTTAAGGTTCAGTCAGGCAATTTGGTCGCCCTGGACAATTAAAGGTTTGGCTGAGGATTGGTTCAACCGTTGTGTCCAGTCTCAGGGTTGGAAGAAATCCGTATTGGGATCCTACTCGCCTAGTTCGCTTGTGCTTTCAGGTGATCCATCGTTGTGTTTGAGGGGATTACCTGGCATATGCCCCACGGTTTGTTTGATCGTCGATGGAGCTTGGGATTGCTCCACTTGTAAGGTTAGGGCAAGTTGGGTTATCCGTGACCTTTGTTCTTCAGAGATTCTGGGTGGAGGAAGTAGGACCTTTTTGTCTGGGTCGGCATTACTGTCCGAGCTACAAGCTTGTTTATGGGGACTGCAGGCGGCGGTTCGCAAAGGATTCTTGAAGATTCGTATTCATTCTGATTGTGTGGCCCTTCTTTCTTTGCTTCAAGATTCAGGTTCAATGGACATTTCGATGTGGTGGCTCATTCTGGAATTACGGGCGGCTGTTGAGTCTTTTTTGGTGTGTCAAATTCGTAAGGTTTCTCGGTCCTGGGTTTCTCCGGCTCAGTGGTTAGCTGGTTGCGCTCGGCAACGGCAGTTGTTGTTTTAGTTTTACTTTGTTTCTTTCGGTTGCTGTTTGTTTTTTCTTTGATAGCTCTTTTGTCAAAAGAATAAGAAAAAAATAAATAAATAAAAAATTATTTCCATAGTGTATCGCAAAAGTTTTGCAAAATAAAGAACTAGTGGGCCCAAGTCTCCACTTCAACGACACTAACACAAATCAAAGCCCATGTCAGCGTTCTATAGTCTTACGCAAGACAGACATGGCCTACAAATAAGAGCATGATTGGACCGAAATGGGCCCCAATTATGGCCCAAAATTTGGTGGCCATAGTTACGAAATCACTGCCTTAATATTCCTTCCCTATGACAAAAGCAATGTGATCAAACTGTTATAGCCAATTTAAGAGCATGAAGAAAGAAAATTAGAAAAAGCAAGTTATTAAAATATAAAAGAAAAAAGTGTGAAGAATAATAAAGAGACAAAAGGCGACAAAGTGTAAGAATGTTAATCCCAATCACATAGTATAAAGTTACATACATATAACATATTCCCTCATTTGACTTTGTTGTTGATAATCATCATTCTTTGATTGTACTAAATCAAACATGCTTACATTTAGAAATTCTAGCATATGCTCAATCCATACACATTCTTCCCTTCGTTTTCCTTTACTTTTTACAAGAGATTCATGATTTATAATAAATGTTCTTATTGGTGAAGTATACTGATTTTAAGATGTTCATAAAATCGCACTTTCAAAATAGTATTTGCTTTATTATCCTAATTAATGCAGCAACATAAAGCAAAGAGTATAGAGAATTATGTTATTTACAAGTATTTTTTTTAACTTAATGTATGAGTGTTCTATTCACCTAATAATATACTTCCTTCATTCCAATAATATTGCGACAATTGGATTTTTGTACTATACATCACTCTTGTTTGACCCATATAATATGATTTACACGTTAAGCAAAATATAGTCATGTGAAATCTTATTAGTTTTGTCTCATAAAATACTTTCACAATATCAACTTTTTATAATTTTTACTCTTATACAATTATAGATATTTAACATATAAAATGTGCTTTGGGATGCGTAATTTCATCCTTATTGCTATATTATTGAAATGGAGGAAAAAAAATAAATATTTTGCTCTTTAATATCGGGTAATAATATTTGTAGTCGTTCTTTTAGTATTGGTACTAGTACCTCTCTTATTACTAAGGTCATGCTCTTCATAATGATCTTACATTGGCCCAATCCCATAATATTTCTTATAGGTTCATTGAAGGAAGTAATTACTTATTATCAATATTTTGCAAGGAAAGACTCCGTGGTCGTGGAAAATTCAGCTGAAAGATATTAAGGAGGTGCTTCGTCTCTTTTTCATGAAGTCATATTATATAATCACATCTATAGAGAAGACAATAGAGCATATGTTGCTTCCTTGTTGCAAGTACACCAGGATATTGAATGATCCTTTCTTAGATAGTAATTTTTTATTTTTTACTCATGATGTAAGTTAAG